CACTATTACTACTAAAATGTACTACTCTCAAACAAGCAGAGTGCCAGCTTGTTCCCTATTGCGGCTGCACCTTCCAATCGGACACCGACCTGTTCGAACATCTACAAATCCGTCGCAGCGTGACTGAAGAACTAGTACTCTGGATAATTCCGTCTGGCATAGTCCTACTGTCCACTAACCCCTTCGACCAAATAGACGCGTACAAATATATTCAGTGAAGCAGGAAAACCCTGATTCTTCTTATACTAACACACACTGCATCCATAAAAGGCTTTAGGAGATTAATCTATACCGGACTAGGCCTTAAGGAAATGCAATTTCTGGTGTTGGATGACTCTCAGATTTTAAGTGCTTCAATACCCAAATTTCTACCCATTCACAGGAAGATTCTAGTAAAAATGAGCTTTATATCTTACTCTCAGGCTGTGGGTAAAACTGTTGTCTTATTGGGCCATCTCTTGAATACGGTTTCAACGGTTGAGTTTTTGCTGAGGGCTGAACTATACTAATTCATGTACTAGTCACGTCTTAGTGGAGTTAAAATGAAGTCGGAGGGATTTCAGGTTTTGTGAGGAGGTCTTCGAACTGGCTTTCTGAAAGTTCTGCTGTATGGGCACTAAATGTGATATTCCGGGTTAGTGCACTTTACTTACAGGCTTCCTGTTGCCCGAAGCGCTGAACTAAGCAATGCATGGACGGTCTCGCAGGCGGGCTACTGACATGATCTTAGCGCACGCATACTCCCAGAGGTTGATCAATGGATCATTTATGTTCGAAATAAAAATTCGATAATTTTTGCCCTTTTCTTCGCCAGGAAAGTTTTAGTAATAACTTTCTACGGAATACTTTGCAAAAATAAGAAGCACGACCTAAAATAAAACAATAACCGGGAGAATGTTATTTGACTTTTGAAGTGGTAATGTAACGCATGGGCCACCGTTTATGGAATTGCAGGTTGTTGCAATATTTTTCTTTCTTGGCTCAACAAAACACCTCTTGAATAGTTTTAACATCAAATTACCAGACTCACCTCAATTTTTTCCAAGGGAATGCTGGGCAGCTTAATTTTGGGCACGCCCTCGGAAGCCCAACGCGGAGAGATGGGAACACCGGTTTCAACGTGGTTGGAGAAGTGTTTCGGAATGCACTCAGACGGCTTCACGGAGGCGGACTTGTGTCGTCGGGAGGCGCAGGTAATCAACCGGTATACGCCCCGCAGGCAACGCCAAACAGCTTTTGGGCTGATAATTGTGTTCAAGGGAGGTGGCAGAGTGGAGCCCTCATCGAAGTAGCCTAACCAGAGCTTGCTACGTGCAAACTTCCACTCTGTGTCTGCCTGATTCTAGAACAATCACATCAGAGGCGAAAGGGAGTTAGAGTAGGAATTCTAGTAACTGTATGGACTGTAAAAGTCTACCGAACGGTAAGGTAGATTTGAAGCAAAGTTTATGGGTTGTTTGACGACTAATGGGTTTAGGTTCTGTTGTTTGTGATCAACTTTCAAATGGTATTGGGCCTCAATACGATCCCTGGCACCCTTGTTTCGCACCTGGAGGTGTCGAGGCCGATCACATTTGCTACGAGCACTTCCAGACCGGCAGACACTATTGCGATCTAACCGCACGTCAGAGAGTCTGAGCTGTCTGCGCCGCAAGTGAACACGCCAACTCTCGGTTGTGCAACGCAGACAACTGTGAATACCACCCTTCGGATAAGAGGCACTTGCATCTGCTTCCACGAACACATAAAATTA